TTCAGGAATAATAGGTTTTGATGGTTTTCTTTCAAACCAGACCTGTCTGTGATGATGCAATACCTGTGTTTCTTCTGTGTGCTTCACTAGAATATCTACACAATGGATATCCCAGGAAGATGACAATTCCCCAGGAGGTTTCTAGTGACATTCTATAGTTACTAGCCACCATCTTAAGACAAGAAACTATCCATTTTTGTAAGAATTTAAACTAGAGAATATAGTTTAAAAACAAGATATCTTTTCATGCCTTCTGGATGAAGCTCTTTCTTGGCTTTCCATACATGCCGAATTGTCAGCCAATGGGTTTTACCACAGAAAGTCTTCCTCTGCTATGTGATCATATGTTTGCTGTGTACATCACTGATCCTTTTAATTTTACTTTTAGTTGTAATATCAGTAACCAACAACAAGCATGAGCACTGGTGAGGTACCCACTTCTTGTTTTGCTGTTGGGGACAGCAACCTGTGTTAAAATCCACCCTCTACATGAGTTCAGCATAACAATGTTTGCGAAACAAATTCTAAGGATGCTTCTCACATGCACAATAAAATTTGTACAGATATTTCTGTAGGCTCCATATAGTTTTCACAAACTCCTGTTACCTCCTTTGTGGACTTGGAACGGTATAGAACAACAAATCATATTTTAACAGTTCAGAGTGGTGACAGCATCTTACCAATTCTTCAGTTCCCTTTAGCTGATTGCAATAAAGTCAGGTAGCATGTTGGTAAACAAAATAAATATACATGTAGCATACTGGATGCTGGCCAAGAGAGTCGTAAGAGAGTCATAACAGAGTTAGTGAAGTGTTGGTGCTTTTTCTTTATAGCACACAAAATACAAGTCAAATAAGTGCAGAGTACTGTGAATGCTGGAGATTGAAAGAAAACTGTAAAGTGCTTGAGAACTTATCTGGCAGCATCTGTGGAGAGAGGAAGCCCCCTTAAATGCCAGCTGTGCACTAATGATTAAAGAGAGTTCTTATCTGCACAGTAGATGTTTTGCTATTAACTTACATATGTTTAATTCATAAGATAAATCTTTCCCATGTATAAGTGAGCAACAATCCAGTCATTTTAAAATAAATTTGTTGTCCTCAGCTTATCTGAAGCAACTTCAAGAACAATAACTACGCTAGAAAGCGAGGCCTACATTATTTTTAATCCTTATTATGTTCACGTGATCTTTGCCTTTGGTTTATCTCCGAATGTACATATTTTTGCCCTTCCAACAGAAACTATTATTCTCAATTACCTTTTCCCATTAGCTCATGTGTTTGTCCCTCTCAGTGCTTGCTTATGTATCAATGATAAGACGAGATGGATTGAGTGGATTAAGTTGCTTTTTTAACGAGTTCACTCTGTTGAGCATAAAAACTAAACCTCTCTGTCGTAACTGAAAGACACGCAGCGGAAAAAAAGCTATACTTCTCAAGCTGTTAGTAGTAGATTGACAGTCTCGAGATGGATCTTATGGAAAACAAACATTCAAACATAACACAGAATCTACAATTGGGATTGAAAATGCCACAGTGTTCCAAATGTTGAAGAAATAAAGAGTTCTTACTCCGTAAGCCAGTTCTACTTAATGGAAGAGCTAGCCATTTGGATACAGAACTGGCTTGAAGGTAGAATACAGAGGGTGGTGGAGGGTTGTTTTTCAGACTGGATGCCTGTGTCCAGTGGTGTGCCACAAGGATCAGTGCTGGGTCCTCTGCTTTTGTCATTTATATAAATGATTTGGATTGAACATAGGAGGTATGGTTAGTAAATTTGCAGATGACACCAAAATTGGAAGTATAGCGGACAGCAGAAGGTTACCTCAGAGTACAGTAGGATCTTGATCAGATGGGCCATTGGGCTGAGGACTGGCAGATGGAGGTTAATTTAGATAAACGTGAGGTGCTGCATTTTGGAAAGGCAAATCAGGGCAGGACATATGCACTTCACCGTAAGGTCCTGGGGAGTTTTGCTGAATAAAGAGACCTTGGAGTGCAGGTTCATAGTTCCTTGAAAGTGGAGTTGCAGGTAGACAGGATAGTGAAGAAGATGTTTGGTATGCTTCCCTTTATCAGTCAGTGCATTGGGTATAGGAGTTGAGAGGTCATGTTGTGGCTGTACAGGACATTGGTTAGGCCACTTTTGGAATACTGTGTGCAGTTCTGGTCTCCCTGCTACAGGAAGGATGTTATGAAAGTTGAAAGGGTTCAGAAAAGATTTATAAGGATGTTGACAGGGTTGGAAGGTTTGAGCTTTAGGGAAAAGCTGAATATAGGCTGAGGATTTTCTCTGGAGCATTGGAGGCTGAGGGATGACCTTTTAGAAGTTTATATAATCATGAGGGGCAAGTACAGGGTGAATAGACAAGGTCTTTTCCCTGGGGTGGGGGATTCCAAAACTAGAGGGCATATGTTTAAGGTGAGAGGGGAAAGATTTAAAAGGAACTTGAGGGGCAACTTTTTCACGCAGAGGGTGGTGCGTACATCGAATGAGCTGCCAGAGGAAGTGATGGAGTCGGGTACAATCACAATATATTAAAGGCACGTGGATGGGTATACAAACAGGGAGGGTTTAGAGGGATATGGGCCAAATGCTGGCAAATGAGACTAGATTAATTTAGGATATGTGGTTGGCATGGACGAGTTGGACCAAAGAATCTGTTTCCATGCTCTTTTTGACTCTATAACCCAAGATTTTGACAGTAAGCAGTTGGAAAATGTATCACAAATGTCAACTATTTTAGATGCTGGAAATCTGAAGTACATGGGTGTTGGATAATTATTTGAAGAGAATTTTGGGCTACAGGAAGAAGAGAAATGAATGGGGCTAGGACTAGCTGGGTTGCTCTTGCAGAGAACAGGCCAAGGCATGGTGGACCAAGTGGCTTCTCTTTGTGCTGTCTGTTTTGTTCTATGCAATAAAAGCTGAAAATTCTGGAAATATTTATAGATCAGTCAGTAGCAGTGGATAGAGAAACAAAATGAGATTTTCTGTTAGATTACCTTTAATTAGAACTGAACTTGGCCCATTATCACTCCCTTTTATTATGCACTGTCAAAGGTTTTGTTAATTAGTCACTCCTGCTTTTCATCCTATTTCTAGACCTTTACCTTTGTTCTTTCCTCTTCTTCGGCCACCCTCCAATATTGGTAATGATTACTTGACAGCAATTCATCTTGATTATTTTTCCAGTTTTGATGAGAAAAGAAGCATGAACATTGGCTTTCGTTTCCCACTGATGCAGCTGACTGATCAGTTGCATATTTTCAATGTTTAAACTTTTTTGTGCATAATTGTAATAAATTGCTTCAATCAGTGTCACTCAGAAAACACAAGATCATTTGTTCATTGTTGCTTTGTCATTTGTGCGTGGGGGTGGGAGAGGGTGTTGTAGCCAAACTTGCTTGTAGCCAAATTGGACATGAGGTTGCGAAAGGCGCTATGTAAGTGCAAGTTGTTTTTAATGTAATAGGTCTGCTCGATGTGATGACATAAAATGGTTAAATTCATCACAAACTGGTTGGTTTCGTAAACACATCGTCAATGACGCAAGTCCATTAAAAGCATCTAGAAGCCAGGTCATTTGGGTCACTCAATGTAACGTTTGTTACCCTATACTTCGGTTGTGATCCTTCGCCACAAATTTCACTTGTAAACATCCGGTTATGTACCCGCGTGTGTCATACACGACCAGTAATGACAAACATGCAAAGACAAGGCGCAGATTTCAGTCCTATACCAAGGATAAACTGCCCATGTTCACACCAATTTTAGGCAGGACAAGCGACGAGTTTGTGCTGCAGTAAATTCCATGATCAACAATGTGGAGTCGATCAGAAGCTCCTACATCTCACATAAGTCCGAGGAGCTATTTTAGCCATGCTGACCGATTCTGGCGGCTGTGCCCATGAAGGGTTTGTGACCGGAGGATTAACGCGCTAAACGGAATGTGATATTCAGTCTGAGTTTGTCTCTACAAGCCCCCGAATTATTTGACATCACCGTGTTCATTGTAAACTTCGATCTGGGAGCAGACGGGGAAGGGTCAAATTTCATTTGGTAGACCACGGCTTGTACAAACAGGCAGCAAAGTGTGTTTACAATCACATGTTCTGAAGTGAGCTGCTTTGGGCTGGTGGAGAAAGTGGAACAATGTTTCTGACGCCTCTTTGCCTTTCTCAGAAGGGGCCGTACAGAGGTTACAGAAAGCCGCGTCAACTCCCTGCATCCAGTGTCCCGCTCACTTCTAGACCAGCCTTTTCAGCCTATTCAGAAAGGGGCAAGGCTGGGTCTAACTGTAAGGAGGAAGCCAGGTGAGAAACAACGCAACACACTTCTGTTTATTTTTGATAGCGGTGCCTGCTGACAGATGCACTGTTAGCGTGTAAACTAGACTGGGTGACTGGTAAAATGCATTTAATTTTATGAGCTGGTGCATTGAAAATGCATTTATTCAGTGAATTCTTGTTGTCCAGTTAAAGCAGTTATTATGTTTCAGGGCTTCTACCGATTTTCGATTATGTCCAGAATATAGCCAGCTGTTTTGTTGTCTTCGGGAGGAACGGCCCGTCAACCTGGCAGTTGGTGGCGTTTCGTTTTCTCCATCCAACAACCGACCGTTAGGTTCAAAGCACTAGAAGCTTTGAAAGTGTGTGGACCAGCTGGAGAGAGAACAGCTCGCTCCTTTCTCCCAGCTGCGAGAGGAGCCTCCTCGCATCCCTAACTATATTCAGGAACCTGGATGTCTGGCGCATTGGAGCGGCAGTTTTGCTGAGTGTTATTTGGAACTGGGCGTGGAGGGTTGCATTTGTGTAGCGCCTTTAAAGATAATTTTCTTGGGGCGCTAGATAGCAAAAGGGGGTTGTGAAACAAAACTGGACACGAACAAATGTAGGGATCTGCGGTGTTAGATGGTGCGACCTTTTAGCAATGTGTTGTGCCTGACTTGACCTTGCGAGCGGGCGCCGTGTGTAACCGATGCTGCTGACCCATATTAGCAGCTCCCCGGAGCCAGGGCGGGTTCCACTCCGTTTCTGGCTGAAGGGCGCAGGGTAGAAGAAGGAGCGGAGGTGGGGGGTGGAGAGAGAAAAGCATCTTCACTGCTGGCTAGAATGCCGGCAGAGTGGGATGTGGTTGAACGCCTTGCAGAGGTTTCTGGCGGAGGCTGTGCGAGCGAAGTTCAGAGCTGGAGCAGTGCAGGGAGTCCGGGGAGAAAGGCCAGAGGCAGCGAGAGGAGCCACGCTCCGCTCCGAAACATGTCAACTTCAGGCGGCTCTGAGGAGCCGGGACAACGGGGAGCTGTGCAAACGATCGACTGCGAAACGCACCCTGATAGATACGAGCTCCAGTATCAGCTCTTCCGACTACGGAAGAAATTCGAGGAAGCTAAGAAACGGTATAGACAAGAGAAAGAAGTCTGGCTGAAAGAAAAGGAGATGCTATTAAGGGAACTCGCCGAGATCCAAGTAAATACGGTGCACTAGGGTACACTCATTGGACAGTGTGTCTGCGAGGCCAAGGGAGGGGTAAAGTTATTTGGGGAACATTTCATTTGCTTGTTTATCAGGGTTGCCCACCATTAACGTCATTCGCAAGTCAGATCGTATAAAAATAAAGTCCCGTGTTGGGTTGAAGAAGCAGCTTACAGCTTGTTCACGTTGAGTTCTAAATTTACCGTTAAATAAGTTAATAGCTTGCTGTTTGAGCGCGACAGCTCGGTACACCGCTCCATTTTAAAATTAGCAAAGATAGTACTTCATGAAGAGTCACATTGGACGGGACAGGTTAACTCTGTTTCTCTCTCCATAGATGCTGCCAGACCTGCTGAGTTTCTCCAGCACTTTCTGTTTCTATTTTAGTACTTTCTGTGAAGTTTATCAACGTAAAAAACTGGAGCTTAAAAGTTAAATACTCAAATGGTTCTCTCGTTTAGAGGTGCATAACAACTCCAGCACTTTTTAACTCTTCGTGCTTTCTTTGGTTCATTAAATACCCTCGCACCCAAAAAGTCAAAATGTTTAAGATTGCTGTATTGTGAACAGTGACATTGACTTTTAAAATAATACTGAATTAAATAATCTGTTTTAAATACTGAGTGGTTATTTACCACTATTCTGCGGGTGTTTTTTGAGTAGTTACATAAGAAGTTATTTAGTGAACTGCAAATAATATTTTACATGCTCTATTTGCTGAGTGGCAACAGTAATTATATTTCCATGCTAGTTCAAAGAACTGTGAATGAGTATGAGAAGTGAAAAAAATGGAACTTGCATTCAGGACCTTCCACAACTTTTAACAGGCAAGGGTTTACTTTTGAAGTGTAATCACTGTTGTAATATGAGAAAACACGGCGGCCAGTTTGTGTAGAGCAGTGTTGCATAAGCAGAAATGAAATAAATGACCAGATAATCTCTTTGCGGCCTCTCTGTATCCTCCCAGTTTGTGTTTTCATCCAGCCTTGTAATGTCAGTAAACATAGATAATTACTTTGTGTCTGTCAAAGTCACTAACATAGATTGTAAATAATTGAAGCCCGGCACAGATCCTTTCAATACTGTACTAGGCACAGTCTGCAGATTTGAAAATAACTCATTTATTCTTACGCTTTGCTTATTGCCTATAAACCAAACTTAAATCCATGCTAATGTGTTATCTCCAACTCAGTGAGCCCTTATCTTGCCTATTAATCTTTGTGTGGCACCTTTATGAATGCCTTTTGGAAATCCAAGTATACTACATTTACCAGTTCACCTACTTTTACCAAACTAGTTACATCCTCAAAATAGTCTCTAATAAATTTGTTAGACATGATTTCCTGTTCAAAAAACCTTATTAGCTTTGATCATACTATTGGTTTCTAAGTGCATTGTTAAGATTTCCTTCATAAAAGATCTATACTAACTCAACAAGGTTCCTTCAACAGCACCTTCCAAATTCATGACATGTACCAGAAACAGATGTATTTCATTATTTCAGATTCCCCTATTCAAGTTGTATATCGTCTTGACTTGGGACTATAACACCATTCATTCACTGTTGCTGGTTCAAAATCATGAATTTGCTGCTTAACATCATTGAGGGTACACCTATATCCCAAGGACTTCAGTGGTTCAAGAAGGCAGCTCACCATCATCTTCTCCAGTGCAATTAAAGATGGTTGTAAATGCTGGCTTAGCCAGTGATGTCCACATCCCATAAACAAGTAATAAATAAATAAAAATTCTGGACTGAATTCTGTCACAATTTGGCTGTGTAATTTTCTTTGAGTTTTATGGAGGGTTTCAATCTCTGAAACCTATTGAGATGTCTTGCCATATTATCCCAAATCTGCCTCCTGTGCCTCACAATGATATTCGATTGTGTGATGCTAGCTTGATTCTCCCCAAGCCATAACCAGAAGAACCTGCCATTGTTCAGATAGCCTGGAATAGACGGTCATCCTTGTGCTGGCACCATCTTTAAAAGTTCATTATGCACATGGACAAGCACGTCCAGGTCCAGCGTTGCCCTTCACAGTGACTGCCATTTGTCCTGAACACAGCAGAGAAGAGGAAACTGTTGCCTCACTTTGTGGACACGGATCTAGAGCTTCTGATAGATGAGCTGATGTGTTGGAGTGCTGTTCCTTTCCCAGATGACCAGCAGTGGAGACCAGGATAGCAGACTCTGCCCGACGTTGGCACCCATGTCACTGTGGTCTCAGCTGTCTGCTGGACTGCCCAGCAGTGCAGGAACGAGGTCAATAACCTTCTTTACTCCGCTAGGGTAACAGCTACTATCTTATCTCTGGTACTGCATGCACTTCCCACGAAGGCTCATGTTCTACCATCCTCACTATTGCCTGTGACATCTTACTTACTCTCACCCACCAACATCTGACACCACTAATCATTCATGAACTCTGAACTGCCTACTCATGCACTTGGGACAACTCACCACTTCTGTCAGACCTGCACCAACATTAACAGCTGTGTCACCCATTTTCATCTCATTCAACCTGTTCCTTTCTCTCATTCCAGAAGAAAATGCCTGCATGAGGGCAGTAAGAATGAAATCAGGTGGTGGGCAGCCTGAAATCTGGGTCATTACCCTCTATTAGCACAAGATGCTGAGTGGCTGGCCTGACTATGCCCAAGCTTGTGGTCTGGTGTCTGAGACTACCTTTGACTTACATACTGAAGGCCCACCGTCAGACGTTCTGTCACCCTTCAGTTGACAGAGGACGGGTGATAACAATGATCTTCCTGGATTTGTCTGCACTAAGTGGCAAGGCAAGGCAAGACAGTAGTAATGTGAGCTTGGTAACTCTGTTAGGTGGGGTTCAGGGGGAGGCGATTGGAGGCAATGTACACAAAGACCATGCAGAGATGCTGCAAGCTCAAGGTGAGTGAGCACAAAGACAACAAGCAAGCAGCCCTCCTGAGATGCAGCCTAGTCCAATCTATGAGCTGGCTGCCTGACCTCACACACAAAGTGTCCTTGCAGCAGCTTTTCAATACTAGTTTCTGGTGCGCCCTGAAGTTCAGCTTTAAAATTTAGAAGTGCCCTGCAAGTGAATTGACACTGACTGAGTGAGCATCAGATACAAGCAGCCATGGATGGGTTGGGGGGAATATGGGAGGCAGAGTGGTTAAGTGTGGCAGGTGTTGTGGGTAAAGTGTTGGAAAGGATTATAAGAGATAGGATTTATAATCATCTAGAAAGGAATCATTTGATTAGGGATAGTCAACACGGTTTTGTGAAGGGTAGGTCGTGCCTCACAAACCTTATTGAGTTCTTTGAGAAGGTGACCAAACAGGTGGATGAGGGTAAAGCAGTTGATGTGGTGTATATGGATTTCAGTAAAGCGTTTGATAAGGTTCCCCATGGTAGGCTATTGCAGAAAATACGGAGGCATGGGATTGAGGGTGATTTAGCGGTTTGGATCAGAAATTGGCTAGCTGTAAGAAGACAGAGGGTGGTGGTTGATGGGAAATGTTCATCCTGGAGTTCAGTTACCAGTGGTGTACCTCAAGGATCTGTTTTGGGGCCACTGCTGTTTGTCATTTTTATAAATGACCTAGATGAGGGCGTAGAAGGATGGGTTAGTAAATTTGTGGATGACACCAAAGTCGGTGGAGTTGTGGATAGTGCGGAAGGATGTTGCAGGTTACAGAGTGACATAGATAAGCTGCAGAGCTGGGCTGAGAGGTGGCAAATGGAGTTTAATGCGGAAAAGTGTGAGGTGATTCACGTTGGAAGGAGTAACAGGAATACAGAGTACTGGGCTAATGGTAAGATTCTTGGTAGTGTGGATGAGCAGAAAGATCTCGGTGTCCATGTGCATAGATCACTGAAAGTTGCCACCCAGGTTGATAGCGTTGTTAAGAAGGCGTACAGTATGTTAGGTTTTATTGGTAGAGGGATTGAGTTTCGGAGCCATGAGGTCATGTTGCAGCTGTACAAAACTCTGGTGCAGCCGCACTTGGAGTATTGCGTACAGTTCTGGTCACCGCATTATAGGAAGGATGTGGAAGCATTGGAAAGGGTGCAGAGGAGATTTACCAGGATGTTGCCTGGTATGGAGGGAAGGTCTT